AACAACAAGAAAAAGTTGGAAGTGGAGCTGTGGCTCAAGTTGTACAGTGCTAGTCCTAAGCAGAGGAAGCTCAGGGACAATGCCTAGGCCCTGAATTCAAGCTCCAGGATCAGCAAACACTCACAAACACACACACACACACACACACACACACACACACACACACACACACACACACACACACGAATATAGATACATACACAAAGACAGGTGAGATGGTACTCACCCATAATCTCAGTAACTTGAGACATAGAAGTAAGAGGATCAAATCTGAGTTGTAAAAACATTACAGGAAGGAATAGGAGAAACTCTAGGGCTCCTTGGCTTGGCACAGGCCGAAATTTTCTTAATAGAGACCCAGAAACACAACAAATCAAAGAAAGGTTGGACAAATGGGATTGCATGAAACTCCAGAGCTTCTGCATGGCAAAGGACATAGCTAGCAAGATCAATAGAAAGCCCACGGGCTGGGAGATCTTTACTAGCCATCCAACCAACAAGGGTCTCTTATCTAAAATATACTTAGAACTCATAAGATTAAATCTCGCAACAAAAATCCTCAAAGAAACAACTGCCTGATTAATAAGCGGGCTAAAGACTTAAAGAGAAGCTGGGTGCTGGTGACTCAGGCCTGTAATCCTAGCTACTCAGGAGGCTGAGATCTGAGGATCATGGTTCAAAGCCAGCCTGGGCAGGAAAATCCATGAGACTCTTATCTCCAATAAACCACTAGAAAACTAGAAGTGGCGCTGTGGCTCAAGCGATAGAGAGCTCGCCTGGAGCTGAACTTTACAATTTCAGGGAGGGGGGTGTTGGAGAGGTGGGGAGAGAAGGGATGGTAGGGAGAAAACAAAGAAGGTAACAATGTTCAATAGGAAATACACTCATTACCCTAATCATGTAACTGTAACCCCTCTCTGCACAGTATTTTTACAACACAAAATATATATGAAAAAATTGAGGCCACATTCAATATCCTATCTGAAAAAAGGAAAGCAAAAATAGCTAGGGTGTGGCTCAAGTAGTAGAACACATGTACATATCTAATGCATATGTATAAGATGAACTTATTGATTGAAAATGTAGAAGCTCTTGCTGAGAAGCTGCTGACTAAATCAAACTTTTGCTAGTACTAATTATATTCTGTGATGATTAATCTTGATTGTCCACTTGATTGGATTGAGAGACTTCTAGATTAGTAAAACATACTTCTGAATGTGTCTGTTAATGTATTTCTAGAGAAGATTCACTAAGAGTGTAAGACCTAGCCTGAACAAGGGCAGCACTGTTCTATAGGTTTCACCCCCCGACAAAATAAGAGAAAGGAGGAGGAAGCTCAGCAGTGCAGAGATTCTCTCTGTTCTGCAGTTGCCATGATGAACACTGATCCATACCACCATGTCCTTCCTACCATGATGGACTGAAACAGAAATCATGAGTCAAAAGAAACCCTCCTCTAAGTTGTTCCCACGACTTTTGTTACTGTAATGAAAAAAAATCTTTCTAATTTGATAACTGAAAATGGACTTTTGCTGTGTGTGCCAATCCTGGGGAATGAACTCAGGGCCTGTACACTGTCCCTCAGCTTCTTTTGCTCAAGGGTAACACTTTACCACTTGAACCACAGCACCACTTCCAGCCTTTTCTGAGTAGTTTTTTGGATGAAAGAGCCTCAAGGACTTTCCTGTCCAGGCTGGCTTCAAACCATGATCCTCGGATCTCAGCTTCCTGAGTTGCTAGGATATAGGCATGTGTTTCTTTCCTTTTTGAATTTTCATAGAAATTATTAAACAGGATAGTAATCCTCTTTAATAGAGGATCTCAATCCAATGGGGATATTAAAAGAGGTTATCAATCCAATGGGGACAGGTTATATACAAGATATTCTCTGCATTATTGTTTTAACTAAATTATGGTATAACTTCTATAACAGCATTTTTCAAATATTGATCTGACATATCAGAATCAGTGGAATATGTACTGATCATACATATTTATAACATTGATGATTTATTAAGAAAAAAGGAAAAGATAAGAAAACAATGTAGTATATAATCGTATTGAGAATTTTCCTCCCTTCCTCCATCCCTCCCTTCCTTCCTTCCTTGCTTTCTTCACCAGGCCGAGAAACAGGGCAATTCCTATAGTTTTATGTAACATACTATTATTAGTGACTGTAAAATACCCTTCTTAAACACATGTGATGAAGAAAACTTTTGTTTAGGATGATAGTGAACATGTAGAGCATGCTATCAAGAATACTTCCCTCACCCCATTTGTTTTTATGAAGTACTTACAAATAAGTTTCTCTTCCTGTTTTATTTAGGTATCCATTGTTACATAACAAAGTCCCTGAAAAACTTCATTTCAAACAAAATTTACTAACAGGATTTTCAGGTCACAATTAGGAGTGACTTAGCTAAGTCCTCCACTTCAAGGTCTCTCATGTGCTGTGGTAGTAAGGGCTATAGACTCATCCGCTTCCAAATAGACTTTTGTGGTGGTTGACAGGATTTGGCTCCTTGAGGGCTGTTGATTGGATGGCCTCCTTCAACCTTTGTTATGTGAGTGGTTTTTGGCATGGCAGCTGGCCTCAACAGAATACCTAGTGAAGGATTATGAAAAAAGCCGCTATTTTTCATACCCTATCACTTCTGCTATTAAAGCCAGTCGCTAGCAACTATCTCCCTTTAACACTCAAAAGACTGGACTACCAGGAGGTGGGGATCATTGGGAGCCCTATTAGAGGCTCTTTACCATATGCGAAATACCTTCACCTCCTTACCAGATCTCCCAAAGCGATTTTTACTGTACAACATCAGCTCAAAATCTTATTACAGAAATCAGGTCAGAGGGACTGAGGCTCCTCCATAGGTATAGGTATTGAGGTACAGCTCAAGGAGCACAAGTTCTTTCCACTGACAGGCTCATGAAGCTAAAAGCAGGTAATTGTCTGTCCTCTACTCCCAATGTAAGATTATCTGTAGGCACAGGATAACTACCATAGATATTCCTGTTCTACAAGAGGGTAAGGGAGACACAGAAGAGTGACTTAAGTCCAGTCTAGGGGAGAAAATTATGCAAGGGCCTAAAAACCAGAAGTGGGGATCCCCAGGTATTGTCCCCAAACAGCCCATATAACTGCTCTTATATTTGGCTCAATAATAAAAGGAGTATAAACTAGAAAACTATTTTATGGGGCTTAAGGTCTATATGGCATTGCTAACAATTTGCATTATAATTTTTCTTTGGCTCAGAATAAAACATATTTTTGATGGCTTAAAAATTCAATGTCTACTGGATACTGATAGCTTATGGCTGTAAATCTAACTACTCAGGAGGTTGAGCTCTGAAGATCACAGTTTGATGCTCTAGCAGGCACTAAAGTCCATGAGACTCTTATCTCTGATTAACCACCAAAAGGCCAGAAGTGGAGCTGTGGTTCAAGTGGTAAAATATTAGCCTTAAATAGAAAAAGCTCAGGGAAAGTGCCTATGTCCTGAGTTCAAGCCCTAGGGCTGGCACAAAAAACAAATCAATTTTCCTTTACCATTGCTAATTGATCTGATCACTGTTTCAGACTGTTGAATTTCTAAAGATTTTCATCATATTTTCCTACAGTTTAATATAGTATGTCAGCTCCATAATTGCTCTTCTTTTCTGTATTTCTTCTTCAATTTATCAATAGTTTGTATTTGCATAAAACTGAATTTATTTTATGGTGAAATAAGTGTCTCTGCTCTGAGTATGAGAACGGTTTCTCCTTCTGTACTGTGGACTAAGCTAGAACAAATAACTGTTTTCTCTATTTTGCTTTCTGAAGTCTTGATAGAACATTCCTTTTATTTTTCTACTAGTCTAGAACTTTGATTCTCAAGCAAGGATACTTTTCTCCCCAGAGGAAGATCTGAAAGCATTTTTTTGGTTTACAACTTGAGTTACTACTGGCATTTAGTGACTACAGGCTTAGAGGTGCTGCCGAACATCCTCTAATATACTGGACAACCCTTACCACAGTAAAAAATTATCTAGCTCTAGTTCAAAATGTCCATAGTGCTGAGTTTGAGAAACTCTGGTCTACCAACAAATCGGTCTACCAACAAATCAGTCCCTCCCTCCCACTTTCAATATGATGAAATTGCAAAGCTGTTTTGTATTTACTTATTATATAAGCTGACTTTCTTTCTAATCACACATTTCAGCAAAATAACAAAAATATAGAACTGTGACATATACTAGCAATTTCAGGCAAACCAGGTTTTACATCAATTAGTGAATCACTAAATAGTACAGTCTGAGATAAAGGGCATCTAGAAAAATAAAATTTCACTAAATGTGCATTCAGAATAATTCTTTTGATTAATCAACACATACTGGATTTTTTGTGATACTTTACTTTGTAATTGAAATTTATTCTTTAAACATACAGTTATTATTAGAAAATATCTATACCCAATATACCCAAACTAGAGCATAATTTAGGAAATAATTAAAATTTTTGTATATTCTTACCGATATCAAAATAAAACCTAGGCACTAGTGGCTCACACCTGTAATTCTAGCTACTCAGGAGGCTGAAATCTGATCTAGGTTTAAAGCCAGCCTGAGAAAGAAAGTCTGCGAGATTCTTATTTCCAATTAATCACTAGAAAACCAGAAGTGGTACTGTGGCTCAAAGTGGTAGAATACCAGCCTTGAGCAAAAAAGCTTAGGGACAGCACCCAGGCTCTGAGTTCAAGCCTCATGACTGACCAAAAAAAAAAACCCAAAACTCTAACAAGAACAAGAACAAGTGTTCACACAACTTATAGTGGTCACGGTGAAATCCCTACAATACCTACAATGTCTTTAAGAACAATGCTGAAGATTATTATTTTATAACCTTTAATTTCTATAAATTCCCTTATGCCTGTCTATGATTTTATGAATCATCTGTCCAAATATACAGAACAGGCCTCTGTTATTGAACAATTCAGTGACTATTTTTCTTGACAGTTGGGTAGCTTGTTTCATAATGTAAAGATGTTATCTTTTACATCAGTTTTTATCTTCAATGATGTATGAAAGGTCTAAAATCAAATTGGCTGTCTCTACGGCCACCTGTAGGCCATTAAGCTTGGCAGTCAAACAGTCCACGGTTAGACTGCTGGCTGAGCGCACAGCTGCTAAGCCCACAGCTGCACATGGAAGGTAGGTTGGTGGTGCAAAAGGAGGATGCATGCTTCTTAAGAAGGACCAGCCAAGTTGTTCCTGACTACTGAGTAATCCACAGCCACACCTTGAAAGCAAATCCGACCAGTTCCTGACAGAGGGAGACTCTGCTTGAACTGACCAAAAGTGTCCATACTTCATGTCAGTCAGGATTTCACCTCCATCATGTTCCAGAGAGCACGCAGGAGATTCTAAAGCACTGCAAAATGCTTTTGCCATTAATTGAAGCTCTGCTTGAGTACAGCCGCAGTCTTTGAGAATGCTTTCGGCTTCACTATGAGTCTAACAACAAAAAGCAAAGAACAAAGAGCAATTAATATAAAAATGTTTCAGAACAATAAGATACTTGATTGAAACCTTATTCATAAGGCTACCATTCATTTTCATTTTGGGGACAGTTAATGGGGTGGTCAACCAAACTGGTCCTTAACAAGGCTGGTTATGGTAGAAATATACATTTCTAGTCATATAATCAGAATGAGTGAATTAAAGTAGCCCCACCACCAGCTTATTCTGAATGACTTCCTGGTAATGCCTTCATATCTATGATTTTTATGTACACCAGGAATGTTTTTGAAGATAATGTTCCAAATGAAGAACTGTTATATAAGCAAAATGTTTGTGATTTGTTTAGAATGAGATTGCACACATTATTAAGATACTATTTTGGTACTTCATATAGGTACAGTCAGTCATCTGATTCACCACAAAAGTGGCAAAAATGAAGACTGGAGAAAAGACAGCACCTTCAACCAATGGTGCTGGGATGGAGAGGATTGAATCTATGTCTCAGTCTCTCACTTTGTAGAAAAATCAGCTCAAAAAGTGGATTTAAGATCTTAATGTAAGACTTGAGTATTTGAAATTACTGGAAGGAAACACTTGAAGATTTAGACATAGGCAATGATCTTCTAAATACAACTCTAATAACTCAGGAGATAGTAGCAAGAATTGACCAATAGGGGTGTATATTGCATAATATTCAAAAACATCTGTACAGTAAAGGAAAGGAAACAGAGCGAAGAAACAGCCTAAAGAATGACAGAAATTTTTGTAAGCTGTTTATCCAACAGAAAATTAATATCCAAAATATATAAAAAATGAAAAAGACATTAACCCCCCCCAAAATCCAACTAAAATTTGGCAAATGAACCAAATACATAATTTTCAAAAGAAGTACAAATAGCCAATAAGTCTGTCAACATCTTTACCTATAAAAGAAAGGCTAATCAGAACAGCATGGTTTTGACTGAATATTATTGCAAAGGAAACAAGAACAAATGGTAGCAAGGATGTAGGGAAAGAGGAGACTACATACTTTGGTGTAACCATTACACAAATCAAATTGATGGAAATCAACATAGAGGTCCCTCAAAAAACTAAAGATAGAAACTACCCCATGATTCAGCTGTGCCACTCCTGGGCACATACCTTAAGGAATCAAACTTAGCATACGCTAAAGATAGCACACACACTTTACTGAAGCACTATTTACTCGACCCAAGTTATGGAATCAATTTAGGTATCTGTCAACAGATGAACAGCTACAGAAAATGTGGTACTATCTACACAATAGAGTATCATTTAGCCACAAAGAAGAATAAAATTATGTCATTTTATGGAACAGAAGATCATTATGTTAAGTGAAACAAGCCAGACTCAGAAAGACAAATACCATATGTTTTCTCTTTTATGTAGAGTCTTTATTAAACACACACACAACACACACACAAAAAGACACGAAAGTATAAGGAACTATTTGCTATTTATGGACTGACCAGAAAGAGAGTGCTGGGGGAAGTACATATGAAAATGTCATAGTGATACCCATTATTTATAGTTAATTAAAAATGCTATTTAAAAACAAAACAAATGCAGTTTTCATGTCAATATGTTACAATGGAGAGTCTTTTCTTCAAATCAACCAAAAACCTAAGATCACTTTAAACTGCTTCTTTGCCCCAGTATTCAAAACAGTCTATTTTGGGCATTTTTTGTTGTTGTTGTTGTTGGTCATGGGGCTTGAAAACTGGGCCTGGGTGCTGTCCCTCAGCTCTTCAGCTCAAAATTAGTACTCTTCCACTTGAGCTACAGCACCACTTCCAGTTTTCTGAGTGGTTTATTGGAGTTAAGAGTCTCAGACTTTCCTGCCTGGGTTGGCTTTGAATCATGATCCTCAGATCTCAGCCTTCTAAGTAGCTAGGATTACAGGTGTGAGCCACCAATGCTCAGCTGAGCATTTCTTAAGAGAGAAAAATTAACATATTAGCAAACAGATAACCTATTAACAGTGATAATACTTGTTTTGTAACCAGGTGTGGACCAAGTGAGATAATCTACACTGCACTGTTGCATTTTTTGGTCAAAAACCAATTTAAGGGCTAGGAATGTGGCTTAGTGGTAAAGTGCCTGCCTAGCATGCAGGAAGCCCTGGGTTCCATTCCTTAGTGCCACATAAACATAAAGAGCCAGAAGTATTGCAGTGCCTTAAGTGGAAGAGTGCTAGCCTTGTGCAAAAAATCCCCCCAAAACTCAGGGACAGTTGCCTAGGCCCTGAGTTCAAGCCCCAGAACTGGCAAGGAAAAAAAACACCAAAAAATAATAATAAATCCAACTTAAGGTATCTCCTTCTTTCAAAATACTTTCTCTACTTACTCAATTTCATTTGCAGAATAAATTATCATGCATTCAGTAACAGATGGCATATGTTTTGCTTTTTATAATGTGAGTTTTGTTAAACGTTCACTAATGGGCTTTATCTTCAAATAGATGTGAGGTTATTTAGGAAAGCAGGGAAGGATATGTAGTGAAAAGATTCCATTGCTTCCAGTCCCTCTACTGAGGCCCTCAGTAACTCTGTTTTATGCAATTTAGTGAACTATGGCTATTTGGAAAACACTTAATTTCAAATTATTAATAATTAAGAAAATAATCAGAAGGATAACACACTAAACTTATCTGATAACTGTCAAGTACAACTTTTTAATAGACTAACCAGAAATTCTATTCAGTAGAATTTCATTTGGAATCTATTAAGTAATTAATAAATTAAATAGAATTATGGTTAATTCTAACTAAAATCTCCCACAAATAGATACCAACTTAAAAAATATAACAACATTTGGAGTGTTCTGATAGATTTTTTTCAATGCTCTAAGAAGTACTGAAATATTTTGTAGAACCTAAGCACTCTATTATGAGCATCACTTACCATATTTCAGTAGTTAAGCTGAGAACTTTTGTAAACAGAATGCTAACTTAATATGAAATACATGTAGACAATAATAATGGCATGACTCAATAAGAGATTAGACTTACAAAACTCACTGTAAGATGTTACCTTATATTTCCAAGTATTATTTTCCTAGTTTCTTTTTTCCAAACATAATGTCTGAGTTAGATTTTGGAAAAAAATAGCATGAAATGTTTTAGGGTATTATGATTTTGGTTTATTATTGCATAAAACAAAAGTTGTTAGCAATTAAGGTGATCTGAAGAGGACCAATTTACCTTGTTTCTGATGTATGCAGCCAAATGAGTCTCTGTGCAGCCACCTCCCAACAAAACCCAGGGTTCCTTAATTGTTAGCTGCAAAGCATGCAGTGCTGTTTGACATGCAAGCTACAAAGGAAACACATGAGAATCAAGAATTCACATCAGATACCAAAGTATAACCAGGCTCTCAAAACATTTATAGTGGGCTCTTTATTGACAAAGAACAAAATCTGTTGTCAAAGTTGTAACTTGATTAACTTTGGAATGATAAAGAAGGTCTCCTTTTGTATAGTTAGAATAATTATTTTATTTTATATACAATTTATTCTTCAAATGATTTACAAATGTATAGCCTAAAAATACCTGAATTAGCCAGCTATTTTTGCTAAACTAAAAAAGTCTGGTTGTAATGCTTCAAAAAAAAATCATACACCATGATCAAATAGGATTCATTTCAGGGATGCAAAGCTGGTTCAATATATGCAAATCAAATAATATAATTCATCACATCAACAAGAGCAAGGATAAGAACCACATGGTTATCTCAATAGATACAGAAAAAGGATTTGACAAGATCCAACACCCCTTTATGATCAAGGCTCTGGAAAAACTAGGAATCAATGGAACATTCCTCGATACAATAAAGGCTGTATATAACAAACCTAACCTACAGCCAGCATTATACTTAATGAAGAAAAACTAAAGCCATTTCCTCTAAAGTCAGCAACGAGACAAGGATGTCCACTCTCTCCACTTCTCTTCAATCTAGTATTAGAATGCCTAACTACAGTAATAAGACAAGATGCAGACACAAGGGGATCTAAATAGGGAAAGCTGAAGTAAAACTCTCCCTCTTTGCAGATGACATGATCTTGTATTTAAAGAATCCCACGGACTCCACTCTCAAGTTACTCGAGCTGATCTGAAACTTTGGCAAAGTAGCAGGGTATAAAATTAACCCTCAAAAATCAATGGCTTTTCTGTATGCCAACAATGAGAAGAGTGCAGCTGAAATCAAGAAAGCAACTCCTTTTGTAATAACCCTACAAAAAATAAAATACCTAGGAGTTCACTTAACTAAAGAAGTGAAGGACCTCTATGATGAAAACTTTAAAAACCTGAAAAAGGAAACCAAAGCAGAACATAGGAAGTGGAAAACTTCCTATGCTCCTGGATTGGAAGGATCAACATTGTGAAAATGGCAATACTTCCCAAGGCTATCTACAAATTCAATGGGACACCTATCAATATTCGAACCTCATTCTTCAATGAAATAGAAGAAGCAATCCAAAAATTCATATGGAACAATAAAAGACTCTGAATAGCAAAAACAATCCTTAGCAGAAAGAACAGTGCTGTAGGAATATCAACACCAAATTTCAAACTCTACTACAAAGCCATAGTAATCAAAACAGCTTGTTACTGGCACAAGAACAGACCTGAGGACCAATGGAATAGAACTGAAAACCCAGAAATGAACCCACAGACCTACAGCCACCTAATCTTCGATAAGGGAGCTAAAAAAAAATAGAATGGAAGAAAGACAGCCTCATAGTGCTGGCAAAATTGGTTACTCACCTGTAGAAAACTAAAAGTAGATCCTTATATATCATCCTGTACCAGAATCAACTCCAATGAATCAAAGACCTTGGAGTCAAAGCAGACACCCTGAAAACATTTCAGGAAGGAATAGGAGAAACCCTAAGTCTCCTTGGCACAGGCTGAAATTTTCTTAATAGAGACCCAGAAACACAACAAATCAAAGAAAGGTTGGACAAATGGGATTGCATGAAGCTGCAGAGCTTCTGCATGGCAAAGGACATAGCTAGCAAGATCAACAGAAAGCCCATGGATTGGGAGAAGATCTTCACTAGCTATACAATGGATAAGGGTCTAAAATATACTTGGAACTCAAAAAATTCAATACTTGGAGCTCAAAAAATTAAATCCCCCAACAATAAATCCTCAAAGAAACAACTTCTCCATAAATAAGTGGGCTAATGACTTAAAGAAAACTTCTCTGAAGAGGAAATAAGAATGACCAATAGATATATGAAGAAATGTTCAACCTCTCTAGTCACAAAAGAAATGCAAATCAAAACAACATTGAGATTCTACCTTACTCCAGTTAGAATGGCTATAATCAAGAACTCTAACAACAGATGCTGAATGGGATGTGGCCAGAAGGGAACCCTACTCCATTGTTGGTAGGAGTGTAAACTTGTTCAACCACTTTGGAAAACAGAATGGAGGTTCCTCAAAAGACTCCACATAGAGCTGCCCTATGACCCAGCAACAATACTTTTGGCAGTTACCCAAATGATCACAAACAAGACCACACTAAAGCTACCAGCACAACTATGTTTATTGCAGCATTATTGACCATAGCTAAGATATGGAACCAACCCAGATGCCCCTCAGTAGATGAATGGATCAAGAAAATGTTATATATATATATAGGAATTCTATGCCTCCATCAAAAAGAATGACATTACCCCATTTGTTAGGAAATAGAAAGACTTGGAAAAAATTATATTAAGTGAAGCTAGCCAGGCACAAAGAAACATAGGTCCCATGGTTTCTCTTATTTGCAATAACTAATGTATGTCTGGGACAAGCAGAAAAGGTCAAAAGCTATGTACATATGACCAGATAAGATGATGTTAAGCGAAATGAACCCCAAGATAGGGACAGAAGTGTTTTTTCTTTCTTGCTATTGTTTCTAACATGTTTATAATGTACCATGTGATTTTTTTGTTTCTTTGTATGTTCCTCCCCAACATATATAACCCGTTTTCACTGTATTTGATGTTGATGCCCTGCATCTTGAATATACACTTCTCTAATTTGGGGAGGGGAAGGGAAAAAATAAAATGCTTAAATAGGGATACAATGAGATGCACAAAACACTGTGTTGAAAAACGATCTTTACAATTTAGGTGGGGGATGTGTGTGCGGGGGAGTATAGTTGTGGAGCTGGAAGGGAAGTGATGGTAAGGGAAAAACAAAGGAGAAGGTAACAATGCTTGATAGGAAATGTACTCATTACCTTGCTCATATAACTGTAACCCCTCTGTACAGTATTTTTACAATAAAAAAGTATAAAAAAAGTCTGGTTGTATCTAGAATTTATTTCAAATAGTTATAACCCAGCATTAATAGAAAAGCAGCTGGATGTTGGTTAGCTCAGGTCTGTAATCTTAGCTACTCAGGAGGTTTAGATCTGAGGATCTCGGTTCAAATCCAGCCTGGGCAGGAAAGTCCGTGAGACCCTTATCTCCAGAAAACCAGAAGTAGATCTGTGGCTCAAAGTGGTAAGGCACTAGCCTTTAGCACAAAAGCTCAGGGACAGCACCCAGACCCTGAGTTCAAACCCCAAAACTGACAAAATAAATAAATAAATAATAAAGAGCATACAGATTTCTGACTCATCAAAGATATATATATTTTCACATATGTGAATCTTTAAACTTGTGATCAATACATAGATTATCATTTCCCTTGTATCTAAAAACTGCATGTGTTCTTGGCAGAGAATAATAAGCTAGTAAGAGATAGATGACAGATATTGACTAAGGAACTCATTTGCTAATTGAATTATTCATAATACACATTAGCATATATAATCTAATGTCTGAAGAAAAGTTTACATCCAGGACCTTTAGGTTTCCTTTTTCTTTGCTTGCTAGGCAGGCATTTAACCTTTTTGCTTTCATTTTTTTAAAATGAGGTCTTATGTTTTTTCCTTAGGAGGCCTAAGCCACAATCCTCCAATTTAGGCTCCCCAGCTAGTTGTGATGACACGTGAGCAACCATGCTCAGCTTTTTATAGGTTTAGATAGGGTCTCTGAGACTTTTTGTTCAAGCTGGTTTTGAACTGTCATCTTCCTGATCTGTACCTTCCCAATAGCTAGTATTATGGACATGAGCTACTCTTGGCTTAGGTTTTTGTAAAATGTGGAAAGAACACATCAAGTCAATTATAGTGTCACAGACAATGACTTCTGATTATGCTCTTCTTCTGGTATTGAGATTGTGCTCAGCATCACTCTACCACAGACCCACATCTCCAATTCCAACTTCTCTCATTTTTGGTTTTGCTTTTTATACCACTAAGGAAATTATGGAAAATAATGTGAAAACACCCTTAAATGTGGAACTCCAAATGATCACCTACCTTCAGCTCATCCCATGCGGTGTCATTCCTGCTGCAGAGCAGCAAGCTGCAGACAGTTGCTTTGTCAGGAATGAGATGAAAGAAATGTTTGGAGCCAAATTGCGTAGAGCCCACCTCTTTCACACTTCCGTAGCTACTTGGAGAGACTGAGCCTAAGGAACCGATAGGCTGTGTTCCTATTTTTATAAAGAACAGAAAACACAAAATATATAAGGAAAGGTGGAGCAAACATTCATTTAAAAATGAATAAAGATGGATAAATGAATAATGTTTCTCAAGCTCCATCAAAGCTTTTCATTTAAAATATGAAATTCAGGAGTAAGAAATACAATGCATCTCATGAAATCTCTTGAGACTCATATTCTGTTACTAAAATGATACACTTACAGAGTCAAGCACAAGTTCTTTGGTTTAGACTATTTTATGGTACTGAGGATTAAACGCTGGGCCTCCTGCACTTTAGCCGGGTGCTCCTACAGTTAAACTACATCCCCAATTCCACTTTTTTGAACATTTGTTAAAGCTATTTTATAATTGTTTCTTAGAAAAATATACAGGGCTGAAAATGTAGCTTAGTGGGCGAATACTTGCCTAGCATGCATGAAGCCCTAGATTTGATTCCTCAACAGCACTTAAACAGAAAAAGCCGGAAGTGGTGCTGTGATCAAGTGATAGGGTGCTAGCCTTGAGCAAAAGAAGCTCAGTGACAGTGCCCAGGCCCTGAGTTCAAGCCTCAGGGTTAGCAAAAAAAGAAAAAAAGATATAAAAAGGCAGACCAAAATTTGCGTATAATTTTTGGAAACGCAAAAATCTCCCTTTTAGGGACAAAGTCCTTCCTCTTTAAAGGGGTTAAAATATACTTGGTATTTTAAGTAAGCAGCCAAAGTGGGTTAGAGTGGAAATCTAGTCCTCATTTACAGTATTGGTTCTATGGGAAAATACTCCATGCTTTAAATACTGACTCAATAATCTTAAATACACACACACAAAAACTAACAATCAGAATTCCTAAGGCTGGAACTGCCAGATTCATGTAATGCTAGTAGATATTTAAGGCTATGAGACAATAAGTTCTAAAGAATAATTTCTATTATTTTTCTTACTAATACACCTTTTGACCAGTTGATGGCTTTACAAAGGCAGGGCAAAAGCTGAAGTATATATTATGCCTTATATATTGCTCCGTTTAGATGATTTATACTAAGACTATAATTACAAGCTGGGTATGGTGGTTGGCACCTGTAATCCTAGCTACTTGGGGGGAAATTGTTGAGGATCACTTGAGACCAAAACTTCAAAACTAGGATGGGCAGCATAGTAAAACCCAATGGGGAGAGGGGAGGAAGAAAGGTTGCAACCCATGCAAATCTAAATGGTCATCTTTTTGACATGTTGTCAATGCAGTTAAGGAGACATTGAAGAGTGGCCTGAATCAAGGATTCAACTTTTCTTGGGTCAAATAGGTGTGGATCTCCTCATACAAATTTTAAACTTATTGGATTTGTGAACTACAGTGCATCTCTTGTCTTCAGTAATTTTGTTATTCAATATATTATCATTAACTGAATAAACATTTTAGAAATTATGTGGGTTAGGCCTGCTGTAGATGATTAGGCCAAGTATAAAGGTAGCTTTGGTTCTGGTTTTATAGAGCTCAATGGGATTTCATTTTTTTCAGTTTTGGGGCTTGTACTCAGAACTTCTTGTGTAATAGGGAAACACCTTATCACTTGAATTAATGCCCCTGATCCTTTTGCTTTTAGTTGTTTCAGATAGGGTCTTGAGCTTTTGTGGCCTCTGAATGTAATCCTACTTCCCTGCCTGAGTAGCTGGGATTATAGGCATGTGCAACCATACCTGGACCCAGCTCGAAATATTTTTTGACAGTAAAGGTAAATGCGCAGAAGTTCATTGGTGTTAGGCTAAAAGTGAAGGGGGTATTTCACAAAATCACTTTCTGAATGTAAAGCCTTATAAATTCTAACAGTAGAAGAATTTGGGATATAAAAGTATAAAAGGCATCATGTTTATGTTAGAATGAATTACCCACAGAAAATTTGGGAGTTAATAATAAACAATATTTTGGGGCTGAAATAGTTTATGATCATTCCACTTTTAGCAAGTGACCCATGGAGAATCATTTTCCGACACTACCTTTGCTGTCAAAAATGATATATGTGCTGTATGATTTATTAACTGCAAGTGGCAAAGAGCCAAGTATGCTTTTGTTTTCACCTGTCACTTTGCTCAGGGACTCCATCAGCGTCACTCCAAGTCTGTCAATGGCAATAATGCCATGAGAACTAAGGAACTGTTTCAAAGACGGGTGCACAACTTTTTGGCACAAGACGAGATCTACATGGTCACTAACTAGCTGCCTCCCTAGATTAAGCAACTGGTCCAGGGCTGCATTCTCAAGAGACACCCCTGAAGGGACCACCAAAGTTCCTTCTCCGGTGTCAGAAAAATCTCCTGATAAAGAAATACAAAAGAGCGCCACTTTGAGGGCATGGGGTTTTTGGATAGGTAGCAATCTCCTCAGTTGAACCTCCGACATGTCAATGAGTATTCCAGGCAATACAGTGGAATCTGTAACTCTCTGACCCTTTCCAGGCACAATGATGCTCTGTCCTAAGATGACGGGGTCTTCTGTGCTTTCTGGAATTGTCAGCAAAAAGGCTCTCAGGATCAAAGTACTGATGTGCTCTACTTCCTTTCTGGTGAGCATGCAGGCGGGTTTGCTTGTTATTATACTGTGTGTCAAGCTAAGTGGAATCTGAGTGCTACTAAAGTCAACTGAGATTCGACAACCACAGGCCTCAGACTTGAGATAACTAGTACAGAGACTCAGAAGATGTTTATTTAATTTAATGACAGTGGTGGGTGTCAAGTCCATTCTCTGAACATTCTCAATCAGGTTGCAGCAAAGAATGGCTGTGAATAAGCCACAGTCACGAGAGCACAACACATGATTTTGTACAGAAGTGGTCAGGATCTTGAGTATGGGATGGGTGACCGGCAGGTTTCTGAGCAGGGCGGAAGACTGCGAGGTTGTGCACACATAACCTCCCAAGCCATTGTGCAGCTGCTTCAGTCTACCGGAAGGGCCATAGCATGATGTTACAATCTCTTTCAAGACAGCTAGTGTGGCCCTGACGCTCTCACTTGTTAGTGGTTCGCTTTTACACAATGATGGCTTCTTAGTTTCTAAACGAGACATCTTACTTCAGGTGTACCTTGGGAAGACTGCTTTTATTTTGTTAAACATATTGTCCTATTTATTATATTGTTAAGTGTTTTAAGATAAAAAATATTCATCTGGAATGAACATCTGAAAATAGAGCATCATAACTACAAAATTAAATAGTGCTGTTTCTGAAACCAATCAGCAGGTAATGACTTAATGGCATACTGATAATTCCAAATATTTATTTTCCTTTATTCTTCAACATTCCTTTGTTTGTCTGCAGACTGAGATCTTACAGACTGTTTTGCAATCCTCTGCATAAAGTAAGTTCCAAGATGGACACCTATGAAAGATACCCCAGCTACCAGAAGCCAGTTCTTTCTAATCCAACTGGGGTTTTTCATCTCTTCTTTGAATATTAAACTCTGATTCAAACTGCTTCTTTCTATAAACAAAAATAAAAACAAAACATTTTAGAAGAGTAATTCCACAACTTTTTAATGACCACAATTTAATAATTTACTTAAATGCTCTGTTCCATTTTTATAAAAAGAAACTCCAACTATCATACACCTCAAGAAATGAGAAAGGCGAACCAATTTATAAGACTTAACATTTCTGTATTTTTAATGAATTTACGGTGTCAGATAAAGTGCATTTATTTAAATAATTTTTGAATATACAACATGGCTAAAAAGCTTATAGGACAGTTATTAGAATATGGCAGGCTTCTAGAAGAGAAATGCTATGTTTTTATGTTGCAAAACTAAGAATAATGGTACATGCCTGAAATCCCAGCCATTTGGAAGAGTTGAAAAGATCATAGTTTGCGGGTAGGCCAGGGAAAAAGTTAATGAGATCCCATCTCCTCAAGCCAGACATGGTGGTACTTGCCTATAACCACAGATACTAGAAGGAATAGTTGGGAGGATTGGGGTCTAAAGCTAGCACAGGCAAAAACATGAGACCGTATCTCAAAAATAACTAAAAATTAAGAAAGTGCTAGGAGTATGGCTCAGTGATTGAGCACCTGCCAAGAAAGTCCAAGATCCTAAGCTCAAACTCCAGTACTGACAACAGTATATACCACAACAGTGGTATAACACATGTCTAAGTCTGTTCAAGGCTCTGAGTTCTAACCTTAGTTCTGTAGCCCCCCCCAAAAAAAATCCTAAAGAATTAAAATAGTTTACCTACTGAATCTTCAATTAAAAAAACACCCAAATGTTTTATTCTTTTACAGAAAGATTAAATGTTATGTTATCATTTTAAATTTTGTTTTTCTTGGAAACCAGGTTTTAACAGAAAAAGAATTTACATTCAGTCCTACTTGTAAATTATGAAAACTAAACAAGCGTTAGTATTCCTACCACAGATATTCGCTAATGTATAGTCTACATTTATTTTAATAAATCTGCAAGACACAATTCATCAATGTACAAACTATGTTTCCTATGCAACTAATCCTCCTCAAAATGTTGGTTAAAGATGAGATACAAAAAATATAGAAACCAAGAGGGACTTTAGCTGACAAAAAAAAAAGCAGGACCTGATTTGCAATTCCACCTCCAACAGTGTGATAATAAAATATTACACCCAAATGAAAAAGCAGAAAGGCAGTAGTTTATACTAAAAGGTAGAATATTGTAAGAAACTGCACACTGAGTCATAAGAATCCTGGCACTTTTATAATCATAATGTGTGAAAAGCATAAAAACCTCAGGTCATGGGCCTCAACTGTTGAAGCCTAGCATTTTAAAGATAAAGGTTTAGCCAATTAGTGCTTAGCAGGAGTATACTAATTATGGTAGCTGCTTAGAGAGAAATTAGCTTTTTTAAAGCTAATCTAATTACTTAGCCTAAAGTACTCTCAGGTAAGGCACAGTAGAGGGGTATATACCAACATGGGATTCTGAAGATGTTAAAACAGTGAAGGGAGAAAATGTTATGCCAAGTGTTTTGGCTAAGGCTCCCAATGTAAGGGTCCTATAACCATGGCAACTGGCTCAAGGTGAAAACAATGATGGTCAGCTTTCTCTCTTCAACAATAAAGCTACAGGAACTCTTTCTTATGGCAGAAGAACCGTTTTTTCTTCTGCCACAAGCAGCCACAATGTAAGTATCATTTCAGATTCAGCAAAATCAAAGAAACACATTGCTGGAGCGTTAGTGAAATGACTTACAAATGGCAATTTATACATTAAAACATACACACACATATATAAACAATAGAAACTATAATTCATAAAATGATTTTTTCAGTTAGAACTTTCTAGTTGTAATTTTTTAAAATACATAAATAGCGACATATTATTTTAAAATATGGAATGCCATTTTGGCAAGTTTAAGAGCCTTAAGGTATTGATACCAGTCACCACATCTTCTAGTTCACGAATGAGGAATCTTTTCTCTACCAAGTGCCATTTGGTTATTTACAATATTTACAACATCATTTGAGCCATATAAAATTATCAACACAGGCAGATGTTTCAAGGCATCTGATGAGAAGCACATCTCGTGTTACTACAAAATGAGAAAGAAAAATTCACAGAAAGAACAGATGACCTTCTAAATCATTTTAAGACATTAAATCTTTGGTTTGAAGAGGTCACCACTCTCATTATTGTTTAGAACTGGATAAACTACAAAGTATAAGAAAAAGGAATGAAACAAGATGTGGGACTGGTGTATAGACTATATTTAGAGGTGGGAGTTGAGCTTTATTAAAGCTTATGACCCATAATGCTAGAAGTTGCCATTCAAAGGTACAGTTAGTCTTTACTATTCCTGAATAAGCAAGTTTGACAGGCTTTCTTTTGCTTTGTTTTTAAACAATGAGTTACTTAAGTAAAGAAACAGTAAAATATACATGATTATCTTCTAAATTAAGAGAAGCATTATAAAATGCCATTTATAGAAATATATAAAATGGGTAAAATCTTGTCCAAAAAGGAATGAGGGTTCTGGGAAACTAGCCTCTTCTAGGTCTTAGGCAAGAGAAAGTCAAGGTGAGTTAAGAAAGTTTTCTACTCCAAACTAAGAATTTTATCAAAGACTATCTGGGTGAGGTTAAAAGGGACAATAATATAGGAATCAATTTGAAGAGGATCTAAGATGGGACAATTTCAGCACTAATCAAAATGGCAACTATGGTGGATTAGCTGAACTGTATGCAAAATTACAAATTCATATTGGTGCCAAAACAAATTCCTTAGGCTGTTAAGAGCATGGACTCATTATTTTAAAAACCAGTAAAGAAGAACAAAGCATTTATTGTAGTTTTCTGTACAAATGCATTTTGGAGGGGAAAGTTTTGCCTGCTAATTAATGCATAAGGAATGTAAAGAATTTGAGCAGTATCATTTGCTACTCTGCTAATGAAAGAATGCACTGGACCATCACATCATTGGTAAATTAAGCCCTTGGACTATATGTAGTTTACTGTCTACTTTTTATATATAGTTTTACTGGAATGGAATTAGGCTCATTGATTGACTTACTGTGTGTAGAAGTTGGGATACATGGTTTGATCTGGTGGGTTGTTTTTTTTTTTTAATGTGTGTGTGTGTGTGTGTGTGTGTGTGTGTGTGTGTGTTGTTTTTTGCTAGTCCTGGGGCTTGAATTCAGAGCCTGCATCCTGTCCCTGGGCGTTTTCTGCTCAAAGCTAGTGCTCTACCATTTGAATCACAGCTCCACTTTTGCTTTTTGGTGCTTAACTGAAGAATCTCATGGACTTTCCTGCCTGGGCTGGTTTCAAACTGTGGTGTGAGCCACAGGGCCCAGCTTTCTTTTTGGTCCTTTCATAGAAAAGTTTGCCAATGGGGCTGGGAAGGTGGCTCAGTGGTAGAGTGCTTGCCTTGCATGCCTGAGGCCCTGGGTTCCATTCCTCAGCACCACATAAGCAAAAAGAAAAAAGCCGGAAGTGGCGCTGTGGCTCAAGTGGTAGAGCACTAGCCTTGAGCTGAAGAGCTGAGGGACAGTGCCTAGCCCAGAGTTCAGGCCCCACGACCGGACCCCCCCCCCCAAAAAAAAAGAAAAGTTTGCCAATTCCTAGATGAGAGCAGTGATTATCAATAGATGTTAATAATTCATTTAGATATTAATGGAGAGAGAAAGCTTATAATGGGGTGAGAAAGCTTAAGAAGTTATTCGTGTTAGCAACATCAAAAAATAGGTCAGACATAATGTGAAACAATATGATATTACCTAAGATATGAAGCATGGCACCATCCATTTAGTATTGTTGTTTTTAAAGCAAATCAAACCAAATTAAAATAAGTCTTTTGATCTAACTATCTGACGACAGAAAACAGAAAGAGAGAGACTTGTAAAATGATAAAAAAAATGCAATCAGCTAATTTCAGAATGTGAAAAAAGCTGATCAGGGGAAAAGAAATGAAACAGTCAAAGAAAGAGAAATTATCTATTAAATGGATTATAAGTACTTTGTTAGAACTGGATTTCAAGAACCAGTAAATGATTATTTTCCTCCACAAATATAATGCTGGAGTTGTTATCAAGGCATGTTATCATGCCTAGTATTATTGTTAAGTTTCTCAGTGGGACAATGTGAACAAGGTCTGTGTATGTTTACTGTTACTGTTTAAAGATGTGTACTGAGGGCCATATAATCGAGCTTGGTATTTGCTTTAAAATACTTTAGCAATTCAAAAATAGAGGATAGATTAAAAAAAACATTAGCAACATTGTGGTGTTACAGTTGGTGATGGATATTTGAGGGCTCAGTACTTTCTTCTCCCTTATTAAGTATATGTACAATTTTCTATAATAAACATATAAATAAAAAATAGTAAGGGACAAATAGCACATTCTTTTGATATACTTCAGCTATTTCAAATTCATGTTTAACCCTTTGTAAATCCTGTTTTCGCTTTTGCTTACCGAAAGCCAGTATAAATATCAGCTTCTATTTGTGTGACTGGCAGTGGCAGCTTCTAAAACTATCTGTTTCATTTTTTGAGACACAGGCTACTTACAAATCAAAGACTGTCCTCAAACACTCCATCCCCCAGCCCCAGCTTCCCCAGTGCTGAGTATGCTAAGTGTGAGCTACCATGTGCCCAGCTGTAATAAGTAATCCTAATGGTTTTATATAAGATAGTATCTTAGACCATTTAGTAATAAGGAACACTTCTGAGGAACCCCAAATGATCTATCTTATTCCAGAATTTTGAGCACAGTACTTAGCTAAAGGTCCAAAAGGTATACTACAACAGAAAATGCTCTCTAATTACAGCAACACTATTCTTGACCTGGGATCCTCAGGACCAGAAGAGTTTCATATGCCAGGGTCTCTTAGATAATATATAGTATATAACACCTATAATGAAAATAATTACTGCCTATCCATAACCAATATAGTAAAAGAATAACACTCATAAAATAACACATTTCTTCAGTAAAGCTAAATTTCCATATTCAGTGGAAATGAGGACTGCAAGCGGCTTTATGTCAGTTAAGATCAAGTTTTCCTGCCAAAGGAAATTATGACAAATACTTCAGCTCTTAGAACACTTCAGGTTTTTGAATTATGGATGAGAGGCCTAAATTATGTAACTACATCCTCTTTAATTCAGTAACTCTTAAACATAACCAATTATTTTGAGAAATTCTTTTGAGCTAAACATTAGATGCCAAGGAATGGGTTCAACTAGTTTTTTTTTTTGGGGGTCCGGTCATGGGGCTGGAACTCTGGACCTGGGCTCAGCTCTTCAGCTCAAGGCTAGCACTCTACCACTTGAGCCACAGCGCCACTTCTGGCTTTTTTCTTTTTGCTTATGTGGTGCTGAGGAACCGAAACCCAGGGCTTTGAGCATGCAAGGCAAGTGTTCTACCACTGAGCCACCTTCCCAGTCCCTCAACTAGTTTTTTCTTGGAAAAAAACACACAAAGAATTTTATGGGTCACAACACAAACTACAGATACTTATCAATGTAGGCCTTTTTATTCCCCCATCGTTCTGTAAAATTGAGTTTCCCCTTATTCATACATACCACAGAAATGACCACATTAAGTAGAACTTACCTGAAAAGACCCCAGAGCCTGCTATTTCTCTTGGATTTGGTCTTTTGGTGCAATTGCAAGTGGCAGACTATCTGGCTCACGTATGTTGTCCTTGGGTATTTGGAAAATAGGGCTACTTCTGATTCTGTACCAACCAAAATGTATGAGCCCGAGTAAAGGTATCATAACCACCAGAACTTTGTGTTCTTTCCAGAACTTCTGAAAGCTCATAGTCCTCAGCACCAGTGCACCTGAGAAAAAGACTACAGTTAAAGGAAAAACAACCTCCTGAACATAATCTCCTCTAAATCATGTCTACAAACCAAAAATAATACATTGCACTTCACTGAAAGTCAACTAAAGCATTTTTCTTTTACTATATCTTAATGTTAACTAATAAGAGGGTATAAAGACGCAGAGAGAATGAGAGAGCGAGAGTGAGAGAGAGCAGAACCTGAGTCTGGAAACCTACAAGCAATAGTTTTAGTCAATAATTGTAAAAGAATATTATCTGTTGAGAAAGCTATACAAAACACAATGAAGAGCTTTAAAATGTTCAAGTATTATTTAAAACAAACTTTAATCCATTCTTGCCATGTTGATGATGGAATACAGAGCCTGATGCTTGTTAGGCAAACACTTGGTACCATTCAGCTGTAACTCCAGCCTGCCTGCCTGCCTGCCTGCCTTCCTCCCTCCCTCTTTACCTCCCTCCCTCCCTTCTTTCTTTCGCCTTTCTTTCCTTATTTATTTATTGTTGGTTGTGGGGCTTGAACTCAGGACCTGAGATCTGTCCGTCTCTTTGTGCTCCAGGCTAGCACTCTACCACTTGAGCTATAGTACCACTTCCAGTTTTTGAGTGGTTAATTGGAGATAAGTGACTTTTCTGCCTGGGCTGACTTCGAACTGCAATTCTCAAATCTCGGCCTCCTGCATAGCTAGGATTACAGGGGTAAGCCACCGGTGCTTGGCCCCAGCCTTTATTTTTTTATAGTTAGATTTAGTTACAATTTTCATACACACACACACACACACACATCTAGTGATAATCCTTCAACACATAGTAATAATTTAGGCTCCTTGTTTTGATTGGATGTTAAATGATGATTTCAAATGACATTAGATATGTCCAACATGGATTCCAATTATAGCAAAAGACCTTAGGTTTGGCTGGTGTGAATTAGACACAACTAGTATTATTTCTACATTTATGTGCTGAACCATGGCATTTATTGTTTCCTCTAAATCATTAGTAACCTTATCTAAGAAGTTTACTATCAACATGGTTGCCATGTAAATATCAAGGCTAGAAAATTGTGTATAGCTACAAAGGTAGCTGGTGTTGAAAACAAACTTTTCCCTATCTGATTTGGAAAGTATGGCAAGGGGCCCAGGAAAGCTGTTTCTTTGAGATCTGTTGGATTTTGGAACTTGAGTGTATATAACCTTTAAAGCCAGCTTATATTTTCATAATTAAGGAACAACAATTAGTTACTAATTGTGACGATACAAACGATATATTGGAAGCACCTAAGGCCTTTTTTCTTTCTAAAGTGCTCAGGTATCTAGGATACTTTTTGCAGCTTTTACAGACTATATCTTTTATTATCATGCTTATTTGTAGTATTTTTTGAGGAAATCAATCATAAACAACTGTATCATAATTAAATTTCACTGTAAATTCCACTGAGTTTTTTTTTGGAGCATGTAATAAAATAATAGGAGAGACTAGGTGATTCGTAGCAATAAGGGAAGAATTCTAATAAGCTTTATTTCCAAAACGGAAGAAGGGATAGAGGCTGTATCAAAGTTTACTTGCATGTACTGAAGGCAGCATTCTGGACCACAAAACACTCTAAAAACTAACAGTCTAGAAAATAATGCTATAATTTGGATGGTCCTCCCAAAGGCCCACTTGCTAATGACTTGATTTGTAGTCTGTGGCCCTATAGGAAAGTGGTGGGACCTTTAGGAGATTGGACTTAGAGGAAATAAGTTAGGTCCCTGGGGGTGTCCCTGTGAAGAAGATCCTGGGTTTCTAGTTTCTTTCTGTTTGCCTGTTGCCTGATATGAGCAGTTTTCTCTGTCATACCCTCACCAAGTTGGCTGAAGCATCATCACCAGCCATGGACTGCAATCTCCAGAATAGTGAGCTAAAATAAACCTCTTCTTCCTATAAGTTGACTTCTATCAATATAATTGTTGTTTCAGTAACAGAAAGTGAACTAGCACAAATGCTGTTAGTCACATCCAGTCTCCTCAACAATTAAGGTGACTTTAGCACCTCTGACTGCCATTGTCAACCTTTGGTTTCTAAGCCACCTTGTTTTCAATAAATGACATCTATCCTATTTACTGTTTACCTCTTCATGATTACTGATGAAAATATTTGTCAGTGTTTCATGAATCATAGCTTTTAAAGGCTTAAAGAAACCAGTTGAGACTACTTACTAAAATTCAGAGCAAATTAAAGTACAATTACAGCCACATATGGGAAGCCTGTTATCTGTATGGAGATAATAAAATGTCACCCAATGTATCGTGAATACCATGAAAAAAAAGAAAATGGGGTCTAAGGCAAGGATGGAGTTACCTTCCTATATTTAACATGTGAGTTAAGACAGAGATGCTCTATTTCTATGTGTTCTGTGTTGAACAGATTATTCTATCAGGATAATTTAAGGTTTTATCTTTTTCTAGGTTTAGGTTTAAACTTGGGAATCAGTCTCTATTTTGATTGAAAACTCATTATTTCCAAGCATCATTGAGGCTCAGACCTGTGCTTCCTGGTTAATAAATGATGTGGATTGCTTACGATTGCCTTAATGATTACACCTGCATGCTTCGTTTCTTCACACTGTCCATATCTCACATATTGATTTGGCCATTGAAGGTAAGAGAACAACTATTTCCTGCGGGGATATCAGGAAGCACTAAGATATCTACTTCTGAGCACAAACATTCTTTAAATGTACTTCACTTTTATCTAGGGCACCAATCTCCTCCCTCCTCTAAATTACATAACTTACTTTATCTTCAATTTCTTTCATTAGGGCCTCTGGCAAATTTTCTGTGCCTTGTCACATTCCAAGCTAAATGAAAGTTTCTTGGTGGTGGAACTGACAGTAAAGGGAAGGGCAAAATGGAGATTATGCTTATTGGAAAATCCCAAACAACTGGGTTCTAGATAGAAGCCCTTACTTTCTATGTTACACAATGTCAGCTAAAACTATCCAATTTTGCTGCTGCTCCCTACATAGTCAGGCCCACAACATGGATGCTGGAGATATTCTACAGAAAATTCTCTCTTTTTTGCCTATTGGGCTTAGTGGCGCCATCTGCTGGTTTTTTGGATACTGTGTAAGGAAGTTTTTTGTTTTTTTTAAATCTCAAACAGTTGCACAATGAGTTTCATTTAGTATGTCCATTTATGTGACAGGACTGCAAAAAAGGTAGAAGAAATGATTCTGAAAGTTTTTACCCTACTCTAAAAACACATTTTGGCTCTTTATGAGCCCTTGGACCCATTTTGAGTTTTATAGGTTCAATTCTGCAAAATTCAATCACTTCCCACATTAATGCTCAAGACTAGCTTGAGCTACATCCTAGTCAAGAATAGATATGCAGTATCATAGTACAGTCATACACTTATCTTGCACAATTTTGGGCATGTATCTATCTGCTTAAGAGGTTTAAGTGACTTTGATCATTTACTTTTTACAGGAGGGTAAAATTCAATTTTTTTAGTACAGAAGAAAAAGCATATTAGCTTTTAGTTTCTGCCTGCCAGTTTTCAGGAAGTTCAGTATAGTAAGTTGTCTCACTGAAAATGCTTTGCCATGAAACCACAAAAGGATGAGCTCTAGAATTATATTGCTAGGAGCTTTAAATCTCCACCATACCCATTCACAACTCATTGTGAAGCCTTGGCTGAGTCTAAGGGAGAAATGGAAAAACTTAAAAACACATAGAAAAGGTGGCTCAGTGGTAGAGTGCTTGCCTTGCATGCATGAGGCCCTGGGTTCAATTCCTAAGCACCACATAAGCAAAAAGAAAAAAGCCAGAAGTGGCGCTGTGGCTTAAGTGGTAGAGTGTTAGCCTTGAGCTGAAGAGCTGAGGGACAGCGCCCAGGCCCAGAGTTCAGGCCCCACGACCGGACCCCCCCCCCAAAAAAAAAAACACATAGAAAAGCAACAAACACAAGATGAATTATTTCATCTCTGTTTCTATGGTAACTATTAATAAAGTCAGTTGTCAAGTGATTAGGTACAGTACTCCTAGTATTATAGATATTTGGTTGGCATTTTTAAAAAATGTTGGTTATTGAAAAGTGAAGGCTTGTGTATTAATGGAAACAAAATCTAACCCTCTTCATAAATTACAAATTGGTACAGATCACTTCTCTTCTGTCACAATTCTATAATCTGGAATGTTAGGCTACATTATGAGAATTATTTTATACTCATATTTTAATGTAGTGCCTAACCTGTGGAAAATACTCAATAAATGGCAGTCATGACAGTGAAAGCTTATTATCTTCAATACAAATCCTACCTAAAACAAGGCACTTCTAGAGATGCTTGCTTGCTTGATCAGTAAAATTAGATATCATTAAATATTTTGACTAACATTTGGCTGTAACTTATAAAATTAGAATATACGATAAAGATCAGTTCATCCTTGTCTCTAGTGTTCAATTTTCACTTCAAGAATGTGTGAGATTAATTTATTCAAATGCTCACCTAGTGTCTCCATATGCTGGAAGAAATGTTAAGGTTTAGGAGAAACTACCATGATGAATAAAGTCTGATTCTTTTCCTCTAAAAGAATACAAGAGAGGAGCACCAGTGGCTCATACCTGTAATCCTAGCTACTCAGGAGGCTGAGATCTGAGGATGGTGGCTCAAAACCAGCCTGGGCAGGAAAGTCCATTCGACTCTTCAATTAGCCACCAGAAAACTGGAAATGGTGCTGTGGCTCAAGTGGTAGAGCACTCACCTTGAGCTGAAGAGCTCAGGAACAGAAGCCAGGCCCAGGGTTCAAGCCCCATGACTGACCCCCCCCTCCTCCCCAAAAAAAAGAAAGAAAAGAAAAAGAATACTAGTTTGATGAGGGAATAGACCTAATTAAATATGACTGAGTGCTACATAGAAGAAAAAGAAACCGCTGTATAGATTGAGTTTTGCCAAGTTGACTCATTACTCAAAACTGTACTTCTTGACTGTCCTTTCTTCTTTCTTAATCTCAATCCATTTTAATGTGTTTGTTACAGCAGTCAACATCCACAAAAACAATAGTGCATGCCACTCGCTACAAAAAGAGGTAGCCACCACTTGTTTTATTTCTTTGAATTCTTAGTGCAAAGGGGAAACTTGAGAATGGAGCTTTCTTCTTTCCACATAGGGTGGCTTATTCTTGACTTCAGTTAATTGGGTGTCCTACTCAGAAAGCTTTTCCTTGAGCACCCAGTCTAAAGTGTCTAACCTCTCCTCTTCCCTCATATTCTTAGGGTCATTTTTCCCTTTCTAAGGTAACAGGTAGCCAATAACTGATTTACACAGGACCAACTTGTCCAACTTGGGACAACGTTGAAGAGCAAACCCAGGACTAGATATCTCAAAGTATTGGCGGGGGTAGGGGGTGGGGGAAGCAGGAGGAATCCCTTCCAACTGACTGAAACTCAGCTTTATCCTAAATCTTGTGTCTTTTCTTCCTTGTCAATGATCCCCAGAGTCCTCCCTCAGAAATAACCTGCCAACAAACCTGAGTTTGCTTCACAGGAAATACAACCGAGGACTATTTGGATCTATGTATCCAGGTATCTGTTTCTCTTCCATCATTAGCGTATATTATGCTACATGGCCAGGGAGCATTTCTGTATGCCTTGGTTACTGCCGTAGGGCCACATTGGCAATAACACACTTCTTGTGTGTGTGTGTGTGAGCAGCAACAGAATTTGGACGTGGCCTCCGCCTAGCAGGCAGATGAGCGCGCCCACAGGTCTGGCCCATCCCGGCGATCTGGATCTGGTACTGCACACGTGTGCGGCGGGCGGGGCAGGGCCGTCCCGCGCTGGCGGGCGTGCCGGTGGGAAGGGGATGGCCAGATCGGTGCAAGCAGAGCTCTCCGCGGGGCGCCGGCCCGGCTACCTCCCCAGCAGGGGCCGAGGAGCCCATTCTCATTCCTCCCACGAGGCTGGGACGTTTCCTCCACCATCCGCGTGGGCACTTACCGTCCACAGTCATTTAAAGGTCGGTGTCCAGACTCCTCCCCGGTCCCCACCCCCAAATACCCTTCAGAGAGGATGCTATCCACCCCGGGGGGCGCAGAAGCACCTCCAGCGGGGAACCCTCCCCGCCCGACGGAGCAGCAGCGCCTCCACTTCCGGCTGCACTCCGTACTCTCACCTGCCCACCGGGCCGCAGCACCTCCCAGGCGGCCGCAGATCGCCGGCCCAAGACACACGGCCAGATCCGGGTAACCTTCGCCCCCTCGCAGCTGGACGGCGCATGCGCAGCTCCGCAGAATTGACCCCCCCCCGTCCTAGCCCCAGACCAATCCACTTCTCCAGGGTTTAGGCGAAGCTCTAGCTAGCGAAAGCGGCGTCACGCCCCGGACAGGACCGGGATGGAGTTTGTTATTCAGTGTCAAATCTGGGCAAATAGTTAAAAAGTACATTATCTAAGCACCATTATAAAACTCAATACATCAGCCAGGCACAGAGCTTGACTTTCGGTGCTCACTTAGTAATACTGGAAAGGATGTTCTTTTGGCGCGACGCGTTCCCTGATTTAGCCAATCACAAAGCAGTTGCTTCTGTCACTCAAGAGCCCAAAGGCCCGCCTCTCTCCGGCTGCTTGCAAAACCAGGAAAAGTTGGATTGTCCACCGTGACTTCTCGGGGTCGTCGAGTTTGGGAACACACATGCGCAGTGAGAGCCAGGTGCCCTCCAGGGAACTTCCGCCCTCAGTTCTTAGAAGAGGGTGCTGGGGAGGTCAGAAGGTCTCCAGCTTGGTGCCCTGCACCTAGGTTCCTGTTCACCGTCCCTCCATTCGGTTGTGTGCTGTCGTTCACTTTACTTTCCTAAATACGCAGGCGAATTCTGGCATTTCTGTTTACGCATACATAAAGGTGCTTTTTCCTGGCGCTGTGGAAGCCACCTTTGTTTTTCCCACCGGTCTTTCCCGTATTCTTCGTCATCACACACGGCTTACCGCCGCGCGGGCAGTGTGCTGGCATCCGTAACGCCACGGGAGCGACCTTGCAGCTCCATCCCTACAACCGCCGAACCCCGGGGCTGTCAATCACACTCAGCGCACTCCCTCCCACCAGAAGACGCGTGCCTCCGCCTTCATCTTTGTTTTGTTGTGTTTTGGTTCCGCCCCCGGGACGTGAGATCTCGCGAGTGCCCGCCATGTTTCTTTTGGGCAGACATCGGGTTACCCTGGACTCTCAGCTACCGTTGTGCCGCCATCTTAAGTTCTGGCTGTGGCTTCACGGGGACGTGAAGCTCCTTAGGATCAGCTTGTGTTTGGGCGCGGGAGACGCGCGTGGACTCCTGGGAAAGAGGAAGGAAGCCGGAAATCCAAATCTCAGAAGCTCCTGGAGATTGGTTCCGCCGCCCTGGCATGCTTTTCAAAAGCCCGAGTGTCCCCAGGCGGTGACTGGGACACCGGTGGCTCTGGACTGTTGCCGCCGTGTAGGTAAGAGCACGGAGCTCCCGGCAGCCTCTGCGCGCCCACGCTGGGACGGAGCTGTCCGCCCGTCCCCTCTCCCCCCAGGTGGTTGGCTTCTGCGTTGTTTTTGCGTTGAAGTTGAACTTCCAGGAATCATCTCGGTGTTTCCACCTCTGTGATTTTCAGGGAGCCGAGAAGTGGCTCCGCGTCGGGGTTCAAGAAGCCCTGGCTTTAAGCGAAGTGGTTTTGTTTTGGAAAATTTCTACTTCTGGGCAAAGTGATGCCCGATGAAAGGGGTGGGTGTTTGGAATCAGATTTGTAGCCTTCCTCATCCGTGGGTACAGACAGAGACCTCTTAGAAAACTAAGATGCATCTTAGAAAACTGTAAATGCAGACTGTGTGTATGGACGTCCAATTCATTCATTCATTCACTTAACAATCTCTTTCGTTCGATCACATTGACAGGCTAGTAGGTTGGGGCTGCAAACAGTGTTAGGCCCCGCAGAACTAATCTTCGCTTTCTATTCCCTCCCCTATTGATTGCATAGAACCCTATTTGTGAGTCAACTAGCTAAAGTTACAACCAGTGGTATCAAATTAGGACCTTGTTCAAAATGTCCTCCCATCCACCAGCCGAGTCAGCATCACCCGGGAACTTGTAAGAAAATACGTGAAGTCTCATTTCAAATCTAAAGCTGAAGGAGTGCAGCTTTAGGACATAGGCTAAAGGTAAAGCCTTCTCTCCCCACACCCCATCCACACCACCTGTGCTTTTTATCCAGACTCTTGGCATATTACCAGCTTATGACATGTTTTAAATTCAGTGGATATTTCCCATATTCTCCTATGCTTTGGGTCTGTTGTCTTAATGTTAGGTTTCCCATTTAGCATTCTGAAAAGTTGAAAAGAGATTTTGGCAGTCTTGTTTTTATGTAACCTCTGTTGACAACATCCAAAATGAAGACTTTTTCTTTCCAATTTGCTACTAGTTTGCATTAAAAATGTTGTGTTTCTCACTTTCTATATTCCTGCTTTCATATTTTCGCTTTTAAGTTATTGAAAGTTGAACTTAAAAGTGTGCCTGTGAGCCACAACTTCGTATTGCTTTACATAATCTTGGGCCTTGGTGTACCATATATTTTGTAGTTCCTAGTTTTCTTCTGTGTCTTTCTTTAATGAGAAAGTGAAATCAGGGGCTCTCAACATTGGCTGCACAGGGCAATCATCTGGGAGCTTCTAAACTAGACTCCAGACTTCATAGCAGATATTGAGATTGGGTGTAAATAAGGAACTACAAATAAGGTATTTATTTCAAATAAGGTATTAACTTCAAATAAGGTATTTGAAAGTAGAAAAAATGCCTTACCTGTTTTTTTTAAGACTTTTTTTTCCTCCCTCATACTTTTACTTAAAATAAACTATGACTTTGAAAGCAGTGTAAAGAATTGGATTGGGAGAGTTATAAACTGGCTTTATAGTACCTTGCTGTTTATTTCTTCTGAATCCTCAGCAGATGAGTTTTGGAACTCTTCTCCCTTGTATTAGTTGGGAAAAGAATAATGAAGATCATTATTGCTTTATTCTTGTGTGAATTTTTCAAATTTTAGGTACATGCATGCGTGAATATGAAAAAGAAAAGTATTACACAACAATATTCATGGTTTCAGATTCTCATATACTACATAGCATATTGTAAGTGATTGCAGGGCATTCTGGGTAAGGAAATTAACTCTGGAACCACAATTCTTGGGTTCATATTCTGTGTTCTCCATGTACCAGCTCTGGGCCATTTTATATATATAAAATCTCATCTCTCTGGTATCCCTGATCCTCTTCGGTGACATAGACTTGATGTGAAAGTTTAATAAGCTAATGCCAGAATGTGCCTATCAAATAGTAATGGGATGTGCCTCAGTGGTAGAGTGCTTGCTAGCATGCATGAAGCCCTGGGTTCGATTCCTCAGTATCATATAAACAGAAAAAGACAGAAGTAGCTCAAGTGATACAATTCTAGTGTTGAGCAAAAGAAGCTCAGAGACAGTCAGGGATAGTGCCCAGGCCTAAGGCTCCAAGCCCCCAGACTGACAAAAACAAAAACCTCAACCTGAATTTTTTAAAAAAGGCTTAATTATTTGGTAGTCAGACTTTCTATATACAAAGAAACCAAAAGATAACAGTGGTAGGACATGTTTGCGCTGGGACTTTACCCTTCCCTTCCCTCTGTGTAGTCCACGAATTAATGCTTTGGAAATGAAACATTACTTTTAGAATGCAAAGTGTGGGTATGTAGCTCAATGGTAGAGTGCTTGTGTAGTGTGCTCTAGGCCTTGAGTTTGAACTCTAGTACTGTTAAGAGTAGGCCAGTGAGTGGGGATGCATGTGTTGACTTTATGTAGATTGCTGCCTCCCTTTTTAAATTTTGTAAGGCGGGGGGTGGTCAAACACATATACACTGTCCTTTTTCTTAAAATTTTTGAGAAAGTATTTTGCTGAGTTCTCCAGGCTAGACTTAAACTTCCTATCCTTTTGCCTCACTAGCTAGGATTACCGGTAGCTGGGATCATAAGTTTCACCACCAAAGTTGTTATGTCTTTTGGGGGACAGTGTTGCTTTGTTGGCTTGGCTGGATATAAACTGGCGATCTTACCTTAGCCTCCAGAGTTCTGTGATTAAAACCCTGAATCACCAACCCTATGATTGCAATCTTTGATATGTACATATCTACTCATTGTAAGCTGTAAGTCTTTAAGTTCTACTATTTATACTTTTTAAAGATTGAAGACACTAATCCGTGCCCATTTGAAACTTTATTAGGCAGCAAAGTAGCGATTTGTAAAGCCAAGTCAACAATAGCATGAAGTTTCCCCTTTATAGTAGGTAGAAAATATCACTTATATTTTAGTTGATATACCTTTTTTTGTGTGTTGGTTTTGTGGCTTGAATTGGAGGCCTGAGCACTTTTTCTCTGAACTCTTTTTCTCAAAGCTAGTACTCTACCACTTAAACCACAGCTCCATTTCCAGCTTTTTGGTGATTAACTGGAGATAAGTCTAATGGACTTTGCTTCCCCATGCTAGCTTCCAAACCAGTATCCTCAGATTTCATCTTCCTACATAGCTAGGATTATAGGCTATGAGCCATTAAAATATTTTTGCTTCTAATATAAAAAAAGGAATGCATCTTTAAGAAAATAGTGTTGCTGTGTTGTGCTCAAATAAATCAGAACTGTTTAAAAATGTTAATTATAGGATAATATAGAATATGGTTAAAATATCTTGGACAGGAAAATTATTTGAGTTGCTGTTTTGATTTTTTTCTAGAAAACGTTGGATTTTTTGTAATTAAAAATAAATTTATTTGATATACAGCAAGATCTCTTTTAGTGTGGAATTTCTTGGGTTTTCAGTAGTGTGTTGATTAACTACCATTGAACTCAGGATGCCAAACCATTTTGTCACCCACCGCCTTTCTCCCTGCCAAATTTTCCCATGCTCCTGCTATATCTTAATCCTTCCATCTCTCCATTCTTAGTAATTTGTTCTCATCTCCCTCTCTCTTTTTTTAATTGAAAAGATTAGACTTTAAGAAGATTGCATTAATGATTATTGGAAGGTGATTGGAAAAGCATTATTGGTAGGTGGTAAGGATCTCCGGTTACAAAGTGGATTGATTGTGTGATGTCCATTTGGTTCCTCTGTTTAAGACTGAATATCTACTGTATGTAGAGCACTGGGTCAAGTAATTACAGATTTAATCTCATGTAGTCCTCACAGGAAGTTTGAGCTAGACATTATTATCCTGTATCATAAATAAGAAAATTAGAGATCAGAGGAAAAGGCAGAATTTGAAGGAATGTGTTTCACTAGAACCTGTGGCTGTTCCTTCACCATGTGTGGGGCCTGTGTCCTTTTTGACAAGATTCAGTAGTAATTAGATGTTGTCTATAAGAAAACTGTGGACACAGGTGACATGGAGGCCAGATCACCCAGCCAGTAGTTAGGGTATCACACTGGAATGAGGGTAGAGTGACAGAAAACAGTAGGACTGGCCCATGGAATTCATCTTGGTAGAGAATTTCAATATTTGGCCTACGTTGAATGACAAGGAAAAGAAAATATTGTCCTAATTTTTTTGTTGCTTGCATTTTCTTTTCATTGTTGGGAATTCTTTTGTTTTTGTTTTCTACAAGCATACATTAGTGTTGAAAGTTACTGCCTGAAGAATATGAAAAACTAGTTCTTTGTCACATTGGCTTTGTATTTTTCAAGCTGTAAGTTGTCACCAGTAAGAATTTTGCTCATTTTCATTTCTTCTTGTTTTTACTAAAGTTTGTGATTTCATTCTTGATATTGGTGTATTTTTTCTTTGTTTGTGGTTGTTTTGTCAGTCGTGGGGCTTGAAACTCAGGGCCTGGGCACTGTCCCTGAGCTTTTTTACTCAAGGCTAGTACTCTCCCACTCTGATCCACAGTGCCACTCCTGGTTTTCTGGCGGTTAATTGGAGATAAATCTTAGACTTCCTGCACAGGCTGGCTTTTAACTGTTATCCTCAGATCCCAGCCTCCTGAGTAGCTGGGATTACAGGCAAAACCTTATGATCTTGTTCACTGATGCTTTTTTTTCACTTCCTGCTTCTATTCCCTTCCTCCCTCCCTTCTTTTTCCTTCCTCTTCCCCTCTTTCCCCACTTCTCTCTCCCCTCTTTCCTTCTTGCTTTCCCTTCTTCCCTTTTTTGCCAATAACTGGGATTTGAACTCAAGGCCTCATATTTGCTCAGCTTCATTGCTGGGTTGGTATTCTGCCATTTGAGCTATGCCTCTTCCTTTTTGCCTGTTATTTTAGAGATATTTTAGAGATGGAGTCTTACAGACTTTTCTTCCCAGGCTGACTTTGAACCTGTACTCAACTCCTGAGGAGCTAGAATTACAGATAAAACTGGTCATCCTGGCCTAGATCTGTTTGCCAATATAGTTTGTATATGTTGTAATGGGGAGGGAATGGCCAGTAGTGAAGTGGTTTTTTTTTTTTTTTGTGCTTTTTGAGACAGGGTCTTCCTATGTAGTCCATGACGATCTCCAATTTACAATCGTCTTGAGTTTTGGGATTATAGGCTGCATCACTACACCTGGCTGGATTTTTTTTTTTCATTCTTGAATTACAGTTGTAACCCTAGAAGTTCTGGAGTGTTTGGTGTTATGCTTCCATAGCTACAAAGTTGTGAGTTTTGTTTTCAGGATGATAGGGGCTTAATTTTCTAGATCGAGTTTGAAAATCAGACATTAGAAGTCTAAAGTTAATTTCTGGTCTTTTTAACTGGGGTGGCTGCTTTCATTTGTGACACATAGGCCAGCAATGCTAAAAGAAAGACAAATGGGAATTTCAGAGTGCCCTAGATTTTCCCACAGAATAATCTAGAAGGTCACTGACTTCCTTTATTACAGAGTTTATCTCCGCTCTGTATTTAAATGACAGGACAATCATGTGATATTGGGTAATCTCCTTCCATGCCTTCCCCAAATTACTTTTCCTGAGTATATTAGAGCTTTCTGTCCCCTCTCATGACACACATGCACACATATTTTTGGTGGGTCACTCATTATCAGTGTTCTTGGTGAAAGAATTCCAGATTAACTGGGTTTAAGAATGTACAACACAGGACAAACTTTATTTGTGAGATTCATGATATGCCTCAGCTTCTCCTTGTGCTTTTGTAATTCACCTTTGGACATTTGATCTCTTTGGAGATTTCCAGACTTTTGTAAAAATAGGCAGCAAAATAAAAATGTTCATAACTTTAGACTTTTAGCCGATAGCTCTGAGCTTGCTGCTCTCTCCAAAAGGCAACTGGAGAGAGGGCCTTTAATGGGAAGGTAATTATTTTTATGTATCTTTGCAGCATGTATGTAACTTTTGTTCCCTTTAGCTCTCATGTTGCCACTAAATATGCATATACAGACTCATATTCCCCATCTTTCTAATGTGGTTTTAATTGTAACATTGTTTAGAGCAGTATTTGTTGTAAAGAGTGCTGTTTGTAAGTATTCTTAGTTTTTTGCACAGATCTTGTATATTCTGGAACCAGTTAGTTGCCTCAATACTCAGTTGTTTAACTTATTATATACTTGTCCCAATTCAATCTCACATTCCTACCAGTTGTATAATTGATTGCATGCATGTACACCTAGTCTAGAACATGCTACTCCTAGACACCATTGTCTGTCTGATCCAATGGATTCTTCCTTGTACCCAAAGCTTTTATGCAGGGATCTCCTTTTAGGAACCTGGTTTTTCTCAGCCCTTTCCTATCTTAGCCCTCCAGTAGACCCACATATTTCTCACTCTTGATTAATTTCCTCATTTTGGTGAAATGCATCTTTAGTAGCTTTCTGAGAAAAGATTCATGGAACATGACTTTTTTAAGACTTTCTCTTAGAACTTCCTTATATTTAAGTGTAGTTGGAAGTTGAGAAGAGTTTTGTCAGAACTTTGGTTGTATTTCTCCATCGCCTTCCAGAGTTGCTTTGGGTGATTTGGAGCCAATCATTGTACCCATTCCTTTGCAGTCTCTCTCTGCTCTTGTCCCCTGAACCAGCATTTTTTAAGATTCTTTGTGTCTCCACTGTGAGATAGGACCAAATAGGGGTCTATTTTCATCCTAATTTTTATTTGCTTGGTCTTCTGAACGGGTCCTTTAATTTCCCCTTATTTTCATTTTGCTAACGTTTCTGGGAAAGTTACTCCTTCAGGAGGTTGCATCTGTCATATTTTTCCCAAAAGCCCCTTTTTATTTAAATGCTATCTTTTATTTCATGGGTATATTATCTCCAGCTTCACTTAAAGGAAAGTTTCCTTTTCCTTCTACAATCTTTGTTTTAGCTAAGTAATTAAAAAATATTTGCTTTTCTTTCATAATAGAATATTGCCTTTAATGGTGGGTATTCCTAGTTACTTACTTGTGTAGAGAGTTGAACATAAAATTGATGATCAGAGTCTTTGTGAACAGGTATGGGGCTTGTGGCTATAGACTTTAGAGCCATCTGTCTAAGCCATCAAGGAAATCCTTGGGTGAACCCCTGATGCCATTGTTTTGTGAAACTCCCTTTTAGGTCAGTGCCCCAAACAGGAGAATTTAGTCTCCCTTCTGGTGGTGAAAACATTTAGTCAGCATCATTAAGTATGATTTTTTTTTAGCATTCTTTCATAAATGCTTTTAGTGAAGATAAGGAATACCCTTCTGTTCCTGTCATGCTAGTCTTTTAAAGTCAAAAGTGTTTGGGGTTTCATTAACTTTTGTTTTATATCTTTGAAATGACCAACTACATTTTTCCTTTTATTCTATGAATGTCTGAAATAGCATATTGTTTCATTCTTAGATGTTACAGCACTCTCTTATTCCTGGAATAAATTCAACTTGGTTATTATGTATAATCTTTTTATTTGATTCTAAAGTAGGTTTGCTACCATTTTGTTGAGGGCTTTTGTATCTTCATAAGATATATTAATACTTAGTGGGGTTTTTTTGATATCTCTAGAGTAACCCAGATAATACTATTCTCAAAATGATTTGTTTTCTTTATGCCTATATATATATATATATATATATATATATATATATATTTATTTGCTTATTTTTTGGGTCTGGTCGTGGGGCCTGAACTCTGGGCCTGAGTGCTATCCCTCAGCTCTTAAGCTCAAGGCTAGCTCTCTACCACTTGAGCCACAGCGCCACTTCCGGCTTTTTTCTTTTTGCTAATGTGGTGCTGAGGAATCGAACCCAGGGCCTCATTCTTGCAAGGCAAGCGCTCTACCACTGAGCCACCTTCCCAGCCCTATGCCTATATTTTTAAAAAAGACTTTGTGATGGATTGGTAGTAATTTTTCTTTAAACGGTCTTTAGACAGTTGTCAAGTTGCTAGTATTTTGATTAAGAATTATAACTGAATATTCATTTTACAAATTAACTTGTTTTGTCAACTATTCTTCTATAAGAAAAGCACTTAAGGGATTTTGATTTACCGAATTGTAATTTTTTTCTTTCGTAGATCCTGTAGTTTGTGTGGAAATCCCTAAGACATGACATCTAAGAAATTTGTTATTAAAGTAAGTAATGCTTAATAGCCCTTTAAAAAAGTGGTTGGGTGAATTCTATGTTAATTAAAAGTGGAAGTTCTGAGCTTTCTATTCTTTACATTAGGGACTAAAACCTTTAAGTAGGCATCTTAACATGTTTTGTTTTAAGAGTAAGATGGAGAGCTGGGTTTCAGTGGCTCACATCTGTTATCCTAGCTACTCAAAAGTCTCAAATCAACCCAAGGAGAAAAGTCTGTGCGACTCCATCTCCAAAATAACTATTTCAAAGTTGAGCTGGAGATGAGGCTCAAGTGGTAGAGTGCCAGCTGAGCAAACAAACCAAGTGAGCGTGAGACCCTGAACACAACCCCAAGCCCTCTAACGAGATTGAGATAGGGAGAAAATAGTACATATAGTTAAGAACTTCTTTGCTTAAAGTCTTATGTATAAGATGCTTTATTTTGGTGGGGGTACTGGTCCTGGAGCTTGAACTCAGCCTGGGTGCTTCCTTGAGCTATTTTGCTCAAGGCTAGCACTCTACCACTTGATCTACAAAGCCACTTCTGGCTTTTTTGAGCAGTTAATTAGAAATAAGAGTCTTACAGATTTTCCTGCCTGGGCTGTATTTGAACCATGGCTCCTCAGATCTCAGGCTCCTAGTAGCTAGTATTACAGGTGTGAGTCACTGGCACCCAGCTCTAAGATGCTTTTTGATTATATTTTATTCTTTAATATTAAAAATTATCATTTAGTCATACATTTTGTGCATCTGTGGCGTGGTTTTATAACATCAGATAAAATGTCAGAGTAAAAGAAACAGATGGCAGTGCTATACCTGGATATATGCCAATGAGATTTCTTTTTGGCTACATTCTGTAATTTTCATCTTATAAACAAATATTCCTTCTCTATCCCTTGATGATTGGAGCTGATACTTAGGTATAAAAGAATGGGAGGATTGTGTACGAAAGGAGAGAGGAATCAACCAAGGGTTAAGTTCCTGTAGCTATGTTCATATACGTTGAGTATTCTTTAGGTAATTTTCTATATGCTAGTGTTCTCTGTGTCAGTTGAAAATATCAAAGTATGAATTATAGTAGTTTATTGACCAGATGAAATCTTTTTAATATTGCAATTTCATCTTATTTTTAACCAAATCAGTGCTTACAGATTTCATTGTTAGTATTTGCTTCTTGTATCTTTGTGTTTCATATGTAAATGAGGAGGTTGTGTAAGTGGTACAAGCACCAGCCTTGAGGGAGAAAGATCAGGGACCTGCAAATACATGCACATGTGCGTACATACACACAAACAACAGCCATTTAATTATCTCTCCAGTTGCCTGGCCTCAGTGAGTGGTTTCTCTTTTTTTATAAATTTTATTTTATTGTAAAGATGCTATACAGAGGGGTTACAGTTACATGAGTAAGGTAATGAGTACATTTCTTGTCATGCATTGTTGCCCCCTCCTTTGTTGTTCTCCCACCCACCCCTCCCTCCCCCACATCCCCTACTCCTTTCCTCATACCACCCCCTCCCCCCGAAGTTGTAAAGTTCATTTCTAATATACTTTTTTTTTTTTTTTGGTCGGTCGTGGGGCTCGAACTCTGGGCCTAGGCGCTGTCCCTCAGCTCTTCAGCTCAAGGTGAGCACTCTACCACTTGAGCTACAGCGCCACTTCCGGTTTTCTGGTGGTTTATTGGAGATAGGAGTCTCACGGTCTCTCCTGCCCAGGCTGGCTTTGAACCGGAATCCTCAGATCTCAGCCTCCTGAGTAGCTAGGATTACAGGCGTGAGCCACCAGCACCCGGCTTAATATACTGTCTTGTGGGAATCATTGTTGGCAACGGGTCATCCTGTGTCCTTGTTTCAGCGTTTTGTTTTTCTCCTTCCCCTTCCCAAATTAGAAAAATGTATGTACAAGGTGCAGAGTGGTTTCTCTTTTTGATATTAGGCTTCACTTCCATTTGGATGGAACATCAAAGGTGGCACAGTCCTCTCCTGGCAGTCCAGTGAAGGCTGCCTATGGATGGGGTCTCACCTGGGTCTATATGTCAGTTCTTATCCACAGAGCTACTCTGCATGGCTTGGGCTTCTCTTAGCATGTGTCTGAGGTTTGAGAAGCCAGATAAGAATTGCAAAAATAAAGCAATGTGATTTGCTAGTGATCAGAAGGTTATACAGTGTAGTCTCAGCTGCCATTTGTACATTCTGATGGACAAAACAGGCCAGTCCAGAGTTAAGGGAGTCTGGAATTCCTTCTGCAAAAAGCACCAAATGCTACAGGATGGTGAGGGTTTATAGTTGTATCCATGAAGACAAATCTCTTGTTGGACTTACTGAGATTTTTTTTTAAAGGTCACCATTTTTCAAAGGAATAAGGTAAAAAATAAAATAAACATAAATACTAAATAGCTCCTGTCCTATGAAATCTATACTTTTGATTATGGACAAGTTTATCCATATAAACTAGAAAGTTCGTGTGTGTGTGTGTGTGTGTGTGTGTGTGTGTGTGTGTGTGTGTGTGTGTGTGTGTGTGTGTGTGTGTGTGTGTGTCTGGAGTGGTGGGAGGGGTCAGTACTGGGGCTTGAACTCAGGGCCTGTACATTATCCCTGATCATTTTTGCTCAAAGCTAATAGTCTGCCACTTAAGCCACAGCTCCCCATACAGCTTTTTGCTGTCTCATTAGAGATAAGTGTCTTAATGGACTTTCCTGCCTTGACTGGCTTTGATCCTCAGATCTCGGCCTCCTGAGTATCTAGGATTATAGGCACAAGCCACCTGGTGCCTTGTTCAAACCAGAAAGTATTGTATGAGGATAGCTCAAAATTATGTATTCATGTTACAAGCATTGTAGTAGGCATTGAAAATACACATAATAATACTAATTGAAGTTCTTCGCAACTCTGGATTAACTGAAGTGGGTTCACAAGTGCTTTTTATCATCTATACTTTTAGGGTATTAGGATACCAGCTCTCCACTCCTTAGTTATTATATCCTAGTTCCAGATATTCAGACAAACTTGAACCTTCCAAAGAGGTGGTTTTTTTTTGTTTTTTGGGTCCGGTCATGGGGCCTGAACTCTGGGCCTGGGCGCTGTCCCTCAGCTCTTCAGCTCAAGGCTAGCGCTCTACCACTTGAGCCACAGTGCCACTTTCTTTTTGCTCATGTGGTACTGAGGAATCAAACCCAGGGCCTCAGGCATACAAGGCAAGCGCTCTACCACTGAGCCACCTTCCCAGCCCCCAAAGAGGTGGTTATTGATAGTGTGGTTAGAGGTTTATTTTATTAGTCTTTTTAGAGAACCAACTTCTAGTTTTGACTTTTTTCCCCCTCTAATGCACTTCTTATTTCATTGGTTTCCTTTATTATCTATATTAGTTCCTTCCTTTACTTGGATGAATTTACTCTCTTTTTACTGTTTCTTGGGGCAAAAACTGAAGTGATGGCCATCAAAATCTATCTTCTCCTAGTAAATGTACTTAGAGCTATAAATTTCTCTTTAAGTATTTCCTACATTAACTGTATTTTTCATATTTTTATGGAGATGAAGTTGAAGTAGGGATTTTGTTATTGATCAAGTTAAAATAATTTGTAGTTTTTATTGAGACTGATTTTGATTCATTTGTTGTTTATATGTTGTTTCTTATCGAAGAATTTCTAGTAATCATTTTAAATTGATATTTAACAGAGTTCCTTCATTTTTGCAAATGTTCCATAAACATATGAAATATATGGTGATTGGTTTCAGGGAGCAACGTATATAAAACAAGTTCTTTTTCTCTTCTCTCTGCTCCCTCATATAAAACATATAATAAATATACATATATATTTATATACAATACCTACACATGGGTATAGTACATATACTATATATGTATATAGTGTATATTTTAGTATATATATAGTATCTGTACCATATATATACACACACATAATTACTATATATATACATAAATAGTATATGCTTATATAGGTTTGTGTGAATACATGAAAATATTGTAATTCTATTCTTGTTTAAGGAACATGAGTAAAGGTGATAGGAGATTTTACTGGAAAACAAATATGGCAGAAGCCAGGTGCCGGTGGCTCACGCCTGTAATCCTAACTACTCAGGAGGCTGAAATCTGAGGATCGTGGTTCAAAGCCAGCCCAGGCAGGAGTGTCTGTGAGACTCTTATCTCCAATAAACCACCAGAAAACTGGAAGTGGCTCTGTGGCTCAATGGTAGAGTGCTAGCTTTGAGCTGAAGAGCTGAGGAACAGTGACCAGGCCCAGAGAAAAGAAGAAAGAAATACTGCAGAGAAAGAAAGCATGTGGCATAGATATGCCATGAGAAGACAGTGCTTCAGCCTGTCTGATCCACCTTGCTCTGTCTTAACTTCTTATAGATCTTGGCTTTGGATTAAATAGTGAGACTTGGAGCTTTTGAAGATAGCATTCTAATAGAATTGGTGGGTTTCCTTTGTGTTTCCTGTAATGCCAAAGACTTATTAATAGCCTTGTCCTTATTTCCTTATTCTTTTTTTTTTGGGCCATGGGACTTGAACTTGAGGTCTGGGCACTGTCCCTGAGCTTTTTTGATCAAGGCTAGCACTCTACTACTTTGAGCCATAGCTCCACTCCCAGTTGTCTGGTGGTTAATTGGAGATAAGAGTCTCATGGACTTTTTCCTGCCTGGGCTTGCTTTGAACTGTGATCCTCAGACCTCAGCCTCTTGAATAGCTAGGATTACATGCATGAACCATCAGTGCCTGGCAGAGTTTTTTTATGTTTATCTTTGGGTGAGATTTTGCTGTGGAATATTAAAAAACTCGGTTCTTTATTCTTTTGTGGTTCTTACGTCCTCATCATTTTGTAGCCCCCTGTCCCCATTTTGTGGTAAAATGAGTTTGGGTTTATCAGTTTATCCTGCCACCTGCAGATTTTATAGGCTACAATTCACTGCCTACTTTTCTGTAAACTCGTATCAATAATGGATTGAAAAGAATGGAGGAAAATTAAGAAAATTGGAGGTTGGAATTCTAG